AACATTTTGACCTGCGGTTTGCGCCAAAAATTTTCTTTTTTTATTATCTTTCGAATGAGGTATCACAAAGGGGGGGTTGCCATTTGAAAAAAAAAAGTTAGCCCCCGCCCCCCTTAAGGGGGGCCGCCCCCCAAAATTTTGGGGGGACCAAAAAGTTGCTACTTTAGACCGAGGAACATTCCCAAAGTTTCAAACTTCTATCTCAATTTGGAAAAAAGTTACAGGGGTGGTCAGTGACTTTTGGATAACCCTGTATAAGAATCATATTGCTGTTAAATATTATCACGAGGGATTAGGCATCCTTTTATGCAATAATCGTCTAATTTTTAAGCCACTGTCATGTTCCTTTAAAGCTGAGATGCCAACTTTTTTTGTTTTCACGCTATTAGAAACTCACGAAAGTGTTGCCTGATGAATTACTGAAATGTCGCATTTTAGACCAGTCGTTTTATATATTCGAAATCTATTTAAAATGGAATAAAAATGTAACTTTGAAACAGACCTCCCACTTTCCTTACAGAAAGTCCGTAAATTTTGAAAGCGTAATTATTTTGCAACATATATCAAATGTCTGAGTGCCTCTTAAGATTGAAACTACTCTCTTCAAATCTCTAATCTTTTAATGTCAAGCTTACACACGGAAAAGGGGACATTCCGAAATCTTCAAGTGGATTAATCATATTTACCATTCATAAAACCGCGTCAGCCAGACCAAGAGCACCGAGAAATAATAAACAGAATCCATGTGCACTCTCACCCAGTAGTGTTGGCTAGGTAGGGTCCGGTTGTTATGACATACAGTTTTTACGATAGGAAAACTACCGATGTTCCAGCACGACTTTCCTTTCATCACCTTAGAAAGAGATGGAAAAAGTAAGAAGTGGTACTCGACATTGAGTATAGGAGTCTCCTTGTAAATTATTATTTTTTATCGTATCGAATTCGAGTCAAAAATTGATAACAGCACTTTTTCCACTAATCGATCGTTTAAGTTTTTAAACTTGACAAATAAATCAATGCATGATCTCATTGCTCGGTGCAAAAACAACCATCGATTACAGTGCAGATGCATATTCCGTCACCATACGAGGATAGATTGATGAGTCAAACGACAAAAGATCTCAATTGTACAGCAACATTTATTGGAAACAGAAAAGTGGTATTTTTGCTCTCTCTTTCGTGCAAATTTTCCCGTGATTGAAGCGCAAACGAGAAATAATAACCTTCTAAATCAAGAACACCTTGGTCTTTTTCTTAGTTAGTGGCAAAAACTATTCTTTTTTAAAGCGAGTCAGGCCGTTGGTAGTTAGGCGACTGGAAAATCTGAGGAAAAATCTGGAAAATGTTGGTTATGTCGAAGAGAGAAAGTTTCGACCGGTTTGGGGATTTTCTCCATGAGGTATACACAGACGCGTATCGTACTACACTAAAAAAAGTGTGGTTTGTTGTAAAATGATATGAGTATGGTAATCACCAACAGACTCCATAGTAGCATATACCGCACCGAAAAAAAGGAAAGTTGATCTAACATTCTGGATGTAAAAAAAGTGTGCGAGAACTTATAAAATACTGAAATACCCGCCGGAGCAATTACTTTAGGAAGGCCAAGATGTAAAACCAACTGCTGTGACGGGTAACTTAGCATTTTATAAGTTCTCGCACTTTTTTTTACATCCAGAATTTTAAATCAACTCCCTTTTTTTCGGTGCGTAATTTGAATTGCATTCACTGAAAGTATGGTAAATGCTGCCAGACGTTTGGTGACCTTAACCCTACAGTATCACTGTGCCAAAAATCATGTAAGCTCAAATAGAATTCCCATACTTCTGGTAAAATTTGCCTCAGTGTAAATTCTGCGACGATGAGCCCCCTGGTAAAAATTGGCAGTAGAATCTGTGTTCCAAAATACCATAGACCTACAGCCGGCTGTAAGATTTCCATAGCTTCTATAGCCGGCTACACAACTTCTTATAGCCTTTTATATCCGATGATGATTAAGCAACAGCCAAGCGATAAAGTGTATGCGAAACGTTCCTAATTACAGATGCTAGGACTTAGTGAGTTTTTGGACCACATGCTCTCTTTTTGGGCCGTAGTATCTTGATTTATTTTGTGAGGAAAGCTCCGTACTTTTGATGGATGCCTGCCATTACTAATACATAATTATAAATTAGAGCGTTTCGTTAATATATTAGCTTCAGTTTCGTATGATACTGTGCAATACCTCTGGTGTGAAATAGTTGCTTCAAGCGCCGTGGCAGGTGGGCAGCCAGCGCAAAGCACGCATTGGCGCCTACAAACCTAACAGGGATACTTCACGCGTTGCGCAATGCGTGAAGTATCCCTGTTAGGTTTGTAGGCGCCAGTATGCGTCGCCGCTCCGCTTTGTGTTAGGCTCTAATATTTAATCTGGCGGAGTCAGCGTTATTCAACTCATGATTTTGAAATGTTTGCACATCCTGTATGGATTATTCTCATTTTAATTGATGGAAAAAAAAATATGTATTAAAGGAAAATATGTGTGTTTTGTAAATATTCAGGTGGTTCCGTATCGAACTTGATGATTTCCAAAGCAAACGAATTTCTACACAATTTCTTATAGCCTTTTATAATCGATGGCGAAAAAGCAACAGCCCGGCGATAAAGTGTGAAGCCCGGCGATAGGCACTATAGCCTGGCTGCATAATTTTTTATCGCTTCGTATAGCCCGGCCGTATGATTTTCTCCGCATTCTACAGCCAGTTATATGATTTTCCGTACTCTCCTTCAGCCCGCTTTAAGAATTCCTATGGTATTTTGAAACGCAGCTCTTATCGCCAATTTTTACCAGGGCCTCTGATTCTGACTGATCCATAAAATCTGTGCGGAGAAAGTAACGGCACGTATGCTGTTTCTAAAATAAGTTAGACAGAGTGGTTTCTTAGTCTAAATTGTAGTCCATATGACCTGTCCCAACAAATTATCAAGCTACTTGAGCCTCAACAAGAGATTTTGTCGTGCGGAATAGACAAACTCTTTGAATGCGCCCCTCAGACGGTTCTAGATTGTTCGTCGAAGATTTTTCTTAGCACTTGACAATTATGGTCATCGTCAATTGTTCGCTCGTCCACGCGGCAAAACGAACAAAAACACAGGTTTACAATGCGGTCTCGTCCGCTTGATCACGTGACTCAAAAATGGAATTTTTGCGCACGAGTATTCATAAATTACGTTAAAATAAATGACACCAACAGTTTTGCGGAAAATTACTTTTTTGAGCTCTCTCTTGAATAGACTCAAAAAACTAATAAATAATAAATAGTTGTTTCCCAGAAAAGGGAATGTTACTACATTCCACGGTTACATATCGATTTAACACATGCACATAGTCGTAGAAACCTAACTTCATTCATTCCTATGCCTGAATACTTCGACTACCTGACAGGGCCGGATTTACCAACTTGCCGCCCATGGGCCGCCTGCATTTTGCCGCCCCCTTATCATTCGTTTTGAAACATCGATAAAAGCCATTAAGTGAACGTGCCATGCATTAGACGCGTTCATTCTTGTTGGACACATTATTTGCGAAAACCCTGTCAACACCACTAGCAAAAGTTCGTAAAACTTAGCGCAAAAGTTAAGTTCCGTACACCTATCTCTGTGTGGACGAGGCCTTCCATTTGAAGAAATGCACGAAAAAATTATGAATGAACAAACGTAAATGTGATTTAATAATTTTAACTTCCGCCGCTGCGCCACGCTGACCGCAATATGGGTTTTGCGAAATTCGTAAAGTATTCCTACAGTCTTGTAGGAGCTTTGCGTTTCACGCCGACCGCTGTTGACCGCACTGTGTTTGACGCAGTGCGTGAATTATTCATGCAGTCTTGTAGGCGCTATGCGTTTCACGCTGACCGCACTGTGTTTGACGCAATGCGTGAAGTATTCATGCAGTCTTGTAGGCGTTGATATATGTTACATGCCGACCGCCGCGCCGCGCGCCGAGGGTTTCTCCTGTTCATCTCAAGCTCTCGTCATCATTGCTCTCTGCGCCGCGCCGCGACATTCTGGGCCAAATTGCGTGTTTGGTTTCTCTCTTAACTCGACTAATTAAAGGTCTCTTGTATCACCAAAGATGACAAAATTAGAAATTACTACTCTCTCAGAAAATGAGAGATTTTGTCACCTTCTCTCGTTTGTAATTTTTTTCTGAATCCGATTTTTTTTATACCCATATTTAAAAAAATTGCAAAATTTGCCGCCATGGACCGCGGCCCATGTGGCCATCCCCTAGATGCGGTCCTGCTACCTGAACCGCAAAACTTTCCAAAACCGGATCGAAGATTGAAGTCGGTCACAGAAATTTTTTTCTCAGTGTATAACGGGGGTCGGGTCCCTTTTTTCCTTGTCTGCAAGTCCATCAACGTATCAGACATGTATGAAGGAAGGTATGTGCTCAACGTAATATTCGATCGAATTTTCCTTTATAAATTGTATTCAGCTAGCCGTATCTCTTGCTTGCAACAGACCCATTTCAATGTTTTGCAATTTCGGCGGTGTAAGTCGGCAATCACATAACTCGGTTTGCGACGTCGCAGGCTTCCTGTCATACTTTATTTTTGAAACGGAAAACTACTCAACGGCAATTCTTTAAAACTGCCGTGATTTTTCTTCTCTGCGCGAAGAAAATTCTGCATAAACTTCAAGGAATGATGTCGATTTGTTCTCCGTAAAAAAAAAAACAACAAAAAAAAACAACAAAAAAACATAGAGGCGGAGATTTTCAGACATCGCAAACGAGTTATGTGATTGCCGACTTATACACTGTCGATTTGCTCTACTTGTGTATTTCTCATTAAAAGTGTACCATAACAACTATTCTCATTTCAGGTGGCGTCAGGCCTAGCCGAGCTGAAAGAGGTAGTAGAAGAAGAGATGAAATCCGCATGCTCTTACCTAGAACTCTTCCGCACCCCTAGCAACGTCCGCGCTTCCATCATCGTCATCGCCCTGTCCATCTTCCAAGCCTCGAGCGGGATCATCGCCATGCTCACCTACGCCTCGACGACCCTTCCCAAGTACGACGGCTTCTGGCAGCCCAACCCCACGATGGCCCTCGTCAACCTCCTCGACCTCATCTTCAACATCATCTCCGTCGGGCTCATCGACCGCCTCGGCCGGAAACCGCTGAGCATCATCTCCAACGCGGGCGATGCCGTCGGCACGGGCATCATCGCCTCCTACTTCTTCATCGACGAGTACACTAACCTCGACACTTCCAATATCAAATGGGTGCCGTATATTGGCATCCTCGTTTTCATCTCCTCCTACGGCGTTGCCATGGCGACGATGCCGCACATCCTCGTCGGTGAACTGTTCCCGGCCAACGTCAGGTACCACGCGTCTGTCGTTTCCGTCGTATGTATCGCCGGCGCCTTTGCCTTCTTCAATTTCATCTACCTCCACGTCTGTAGGGTTGCTGGTGTGAGCGTTATGTTCTTGATCTTCACGATGTCCAGTGTGGCGGCGACCATTTTCTCGTACCTCTACATGTTCGAGACGAAGAATCTCTCGTTGTCGGAGATTCAGATGAAGGCTATGGGGAAGAGTCAACCCAAAGAGGTTTTGTCGAAAGCGTGATTGTCTAAGGTTAGTCTTAAAGATCGACTCTTAGTCACGCCGAGCAAAAATGGTAGAAGAAAAGAAGGTGTGTACATTGAACCGACTCGTCTTTGATTGGCTCGTGCGTCACAGCGGGCTGATTATTGAAATTGATAGACAAATCAGTAGACAAAGAAGACAAAAGGGATTTGGATGGATCCTATCTCTGGAAGGGGGTGGTTGCAATGAACAAAGGAGGTAGGTAAAAGACTAACTATCGGCAACCCACGAGACCCCATTGTTAGTTCATCATTTTCTCTCTTTTAGTCTATAGGAACCAACCATTTTAACCAATAGGATCGCTCCATGCTCCTTGTGTCTTCTTTGTCCATAGCTTTGTCTATAAATTCCAACAATCACCCCGCAGATCTGTTTCTGTATGAAAGGCCATATGTTGAGATTGCCGGACAAATAGTTTGTGCACGCGACTTCTATGAATGTGTATGAGAGGCTGTCCGACCGCTATGTTACAGCAAGAGGACTTTTTTCCTTATAAGGCTCTGCTGTAGCTACTACGTCCAATGATGATTTCTCCTAACATGCCGAACAGCTACTGACGAGTAACATGCTCAGCCGTTTGTTTGACGCATGGGCGAAACTGGGAATTTTTCTGGTGGAACCAGAGAGACATCCCAAGAGCAATCGTGAGCTGTTTTTATTAGAAAATTGATGGATTTGACAGTGAAAACTCAACAGTGTGACTCTTAATTTTGCGGAAATTATTCACCTTATACGAAAAATTTTGTCATATTGTGCCATTAAAATAATATCGATGATAGTGAAATGATTTGAACACTACTTTGCATACCGAGAGAAAAGTCTCGGCTTTCTGATATTTGTGTTATAGTTCGTCGAATGCGACTCGTTAGAACAGATCTCAAATCCCGGCATGATGAAGTGTACCGTTTGAAGGCCGGAGAAAAAATGTCTGTCATACAATTCTCGCAATATTAGTTAATTTTACGTATTTATTGTAACATAAAATGTATATATTTAGATTTAAGTCAGCCACATACTACACAAACTGAATTCAATAAAAGCGGCCAAGCAATCACAGGTAAAAGGAAAAGAGCAAGTTTATAAGTTCAGACGTGAAAAATTGGCACAACAAGTGATTCAATTTTAAAGTTTCTTGTACTAATCCATCTTTCTGTTTATTCTACGCTCTAAAAAATTTGAATTGCAAAAACTGAGTCATCAAGTCATCAAATGCATTCGTCTCAAACATGTATATTCTATATATGGCAAGTAGGAGTAGGTATATAAAAAGGGGAAAAAATTGAATACTTTTAAAATCACAATAAAGGTGTTTATTGCCGGAACTTGCATCCGAATGCCCTTTAGGTATCACAGTAAAATTTTCCAAACATCATGCACCAAACTGAATTGGCAGGGTTAATTTCACGCCATCTTTCTTCACTCTTTGCGGTATTAAAAAGAGACTTTCCGAAAATGAACCTCTGGAATTTTTTTCAGACGCACTAAACCTGCCAATATGGTCGCTCAATAAAACCAACATGTTAATAACATAAGCATCTCGATTTTTTCTTTTGTTTCCCTTCGGTATGGACTCGCCTGAAACTTCAAGCACTTTTCAAACTCTGCGCTTCTGCACTTGTGCACAATCTAAACCACCAGTTGATAAACGTCCCCCCCCCCTATTTTTCCTTTTATCTTTCTGCACGTTCAGTCAGTACTGGAAATTTAAAAATAAGAAACTCAACGAAAATTATCAAAAGAGAAAAACATTTTTTTATGACGTAATAACGCGAGGAATACCTCATTTCATCCAGAGTGGCAGTGAGAATCGTTTCAGGAAACAGAAAACTTCGTTGAGAAGTTGTAACTAGGAGATGAGAGGGGGGGGGGTGATGTCCGAAACTAAGACGAGTAGTGCATACCTCTGAACCAGATTTAGCGGAAAACGCCAGACTTCTACCGTATGTTGAAATTAAAGTTACTTTGCAGCGCCAAAATTGTGAATTTGTATAAGATTCCTCGACTCTTACGTGGTTTCTATCTAGCAAGCAAGTCAACGTGTATTACATCACTGATTTGGCAACATTGGTGAAGATTGAAGTTGTACTTCTGACCGAGAGAAGACGAAAATGAAACCGGAAACTTTGCCAAGTATCCCATGCCAACTTGTTCAAACTTTGAAGCTTTCCTTTACAGCTCGTGGTGGGGTGAACTCTGACGGAGGAGTTGAAAGCGCTGAATCGAAAAATTATTTGCAGGGACGAAACTCATGCGCAAATTATTCAAGTTGCCCTACGGTGACTGTCTGATCAAAACACCTATCTCAGTTTACAAACTTGCGAATTGTCCAACATAATTGATTTTTTAAATGGGAAACTTATAAACATAATTTCATGTTAACATGTATTCAGTGCCTGAAACATTCGGTATGCATAATTTTGACGGTATGTATATCGACGGTGTAAGTCAGCAATCCCATAACTCGGTTTGCGACGTCGCAGACTTCCTGTCATACTTTATTTTTGAAACGAAAAACTACTCAACCGTAATTCTTTAAAACTGCCGTGATTTTTCTTCTCTGTACGAAAGAAATTCTGCAAAAACTTCAAGGAATGATGTCAACTTGTTCTCCTTTAAAAAAATAAAATTGAGGCGGCAGAGATTTTCAAACACCACTAACGAGATATGCGGTTGCGGACTTACGCCGTCGATATGCATTAGGAGTGTGGCCTCATTATCTAATTTTGCATCGTGTCTTGAAGTGTAACAATGACATGAATAACTTTTTTAAGTGTGTCTGCGTGCTATCATCTGGTCTGAGCAATTCCTTTGATTTTGTTCCTTCTATAATTTATTTAAAAGTTCGTTCTTGTTTTTCAGCATTGGTTGGTTTAGCTGTAGTTCCTAATAGTTATTGTACCTGCAACCACTTTGTTAAATGAAATTTGTAAATAAAGTTATTTTTTTATTACTACGTTAAACTTTTCGATGTAACTTACACCGGCAATCTTCAGAATTTGCGTATTTCCATGCTACGAGCAATAAATGCGTTACATTCCAATCGTTGCTCCTCTGACGTTAGGGTGAGTCTCAATTTCCACATGAGCCGTAATTTCCATGTAATTTCATGCTTTTTGGAGCTTACGTAGAACTACAGATACGCTCTTATGTCTGAAAAGCGATAGAGTGTCAAACCAAGATGACCAGCATTGTTGATGAATGAGAGTCAATTTTCAGAATTTAGGGCATTTATGCATTATTATTATTTTTCGAGATGACGGGTGGAAATAATTATTGTAATCAAAAGTAATTCTGGATAATTTGAGTTCATAGGTTGGCTGGCCATACATAATCGCCGCTCCCAGGACGTCAAGATCAGGATTTGCTGCCTCCACGTCTTGTGGTTACGGAGGGGGGGGGGGGAGCTATGCCGTTCGTAAATTACGTACCCAACACACTTTTTAAGGCAGATTTTCAATCACTTTCATCACCTACTTTTCGGTCTATATTAGTCACCATTTTACACCTATTCTTCTGGATGGTCACACAAAATAGTGTTGAGCGACCAAGTCCTTTGGGTAGATCCGACACACAAAAAAGGAACACAAAGTAACACAGAGTAACACTAAATATGGACATTTTAACTGTAATGTATATGTAAAAAAAAAAAAAAAAAAAAAAAAAAAAAAAAAAAAAANGCACTGTAATGGGGGTGGCATTTACAGTAATTGGCGGCATGTACGGTAATGCACGGCATGTACGGTAATGCACGGCATGTACGGTAATGCACGGCATGTACGGTAATGCACGGCATGTACGTTAATGGGCGGCATGTACGGTAATGGGCGGCATGTACGGTAATGGGTGGCATTTACAGTAATGCACGGTAGTTACGGCAATGCGCGGCATTTACGGTACCCTCAGTATGAAGTCTCACCATACTCTCAGCATGAAGGGACTCTAAGGTCCTTCCTATCTTTTTGGGCCATAAGAATAAGAGCTTCCTGAGCTGATGGAACATAATCTTTAAAATCACCGACATGTTCATACCCTTCCTATGCAGGTACCCAAGAAACGACTCCGAATACGACGTTAGCGGTGTTCAATTCCAGCCGAACTCCATCCGTCGATCCATCTTCAGAGCCGGCGCCCGGCGCTAACAAAAGCCCTCATGCGGCACCCGTAATGGAGTGCCGCGCGAAGCTCGAAGAGCGATGCAGTTGTCGGCGGAACTGCACATAAAGTAGTGAATCCGGCGACGGATTTGAGGGAGCTGCTGCGCCATTGCGGGTGTCGCAGCCGCCCCGCGCGACAAAATATAGTCGAGCTCGTATTCTTCAGATAAAGCTAAATCCTAACAGATGGTGATGTATGTGGAGGAGCCCCTTGTTGGGGCTCTCCATTACTCCCGGATATGAGCCCGATGTCTCATTCGAATTTGAATTATCGCCCGGGAAGAGCTCTGTTTTCGCGCGCCGAGATCCGCGATGTCCTTTTTTGCGCACCCCCTCCCCACCCCCTCTCCGGTCTTGTTTACTCCGCTCCCTCCGACCGAGTCCCCCCTCTCTCCCCGCCGTAGCCCATAAAAAATGAATACTGTCGAATTGAAGTGTTTCCGATAAGCAGAGGATTAGGCTGGGACCCTATCGCCTCGTTGCAAAATACACTTCGGAACGGAACGCAGAAATTTTCTCGTGTTTTCTCTGATGGTCCGTCATTCAGAAGCAAATTTTTATCCGATAGGTCAGTTGTGCGGATTATATAACGGGCAGCGGGGTGGCAAACTTTCATGAAAAATAAAATCTTGAAATCCCGCGTGAAATATTTCATGAAATTTCATAAATTTGTGGAACATATTGCAAAATTTCGCAAAATGTAAAAATTGCGACTTTCTTCTATTTTTGTGTGTTTGGATTGCATACTCTAGCCCCGGAAAAATATGAAATATTCCACAGCCTCGTGAGATTTATAATAAAAGATTTCGCTAAAATTTAAATGCTTAAAGTGCAGAAAAGATGAAAGCACTTTAGAAGTCATTGAATTTGACACGGAATCACCTTGATATTTACAAAACACCCATTATATTTTCCTTTAATATACATTTTTTATCTCATCAGTTTAAATGAGAATGATCCATGCGGAGTGTGCAAACATTTCAAAATCATCAGTTGAAAAACGCTGACTCTGCGAGGCTGACACAGAGCGGAGCGTCGTGCTGCCAGCGCGGAAACCGCATTGGCGCCTACAAACCTAAGTGGATACTTCACGCATTGCGCAATGCGTGAAGTATCCCTGTTAGTTTTGTAGGCGCTGGCCGCCCGCCCGCCGCACCGCATCGCACCGCGGCGACCACATAGAAAGACCTGCCTAATCGTACAGCCTCTACGTCCAATAGCAATGACGAAGATACTGCCCCCTCAAAATACACAGAATATGACGTAATCCACCGCGTTAGTACAAAACAGCGTTTTATTAACCTTATATTCATCAACTGAACTTCATTTTGCAATTAGGGACGTCATAGGACTTGAAAAATGCACAAGCACATACTTGCACTGGTTGCTCGACTGAAAACTCAGATTAAACTGCAAATGAAGAAACCATGGTTTGTTTTACCTTGGTGTAATACTGTGATTTTTTAATCCGTGTCAATTTTTTGTTAGGATGGATTAAGCTTTATCCTAACAAAATCTCTCTCATATTATTTATTATTTATTTATTTATTATTATTTATTGTCTCTTATTATTTTTTGCTGATGTATGATCTGAAAATATCAGAACATGATTCTGTGATCTAAATACTAAAGGTCTCTCTGCTTATCTTCTAAAAAATGTTACTTAGCCTCTCATCATATAAATTAGAGTAGTTTTGATTTCATAAGGCCTTAGGATGTATACCAGTACAAATAAGTTTCAATATTTTGGCAACATAGCTGATCAACCAACGACACGTCATACATATCAATGCCGCACGATGGTAGCAAAAAAGCTAAATTCTCTCTAAAAATCTGCCGTATTTTACAAAAGCAATGAGCAATATTTGGCAAAGGGGATCACTTCTTTTTTTAGAAAAATATAGGTTGATAAACAGTGCAGATTGAGACTGCATTTATTCGAATTCGAGGTTTTATCGGTTGGAAGAAGCGCAGAGGGCCACTCTCGAATATGATGAATTTCAATACTACAATAGATACTAAATTTTTTCCCAGGTTGAATAATTTATCCCGCAGAAAATTCTAATGAGGTTCATACACGAAAGCTAATGATGACGCTTGAGTGCAATTTTGCGAGGGAAGTTAAGGGAGTTTGTGGCTAGTAAGTATAGGGAAAATTAAACACTTTTAGTTACTGAGGTTCGCACTCACGGGTAATCTAAGGAGAGTACAGTTTCTTGTTGGGAAAGTTGTATATGGGTTGCATTCCGCTCAAACGGAATTCAACAAACTTTCAATAAAAAATACAATGAATTCAAAAATTGCACGAGCTCCAAATAAAATGAATTTGACGAAGACTAAAAGAAAAAAGATGAGGGCTTGAATGTACTCGTACACACTATTTCTCTTGCAAGAAACTATGACAATTTTAATTTTTATGTGATATCACGACGGAAAAAGCCTTCTTTTTTACCCATTTTTTGGAAATTGTTAATTTAATCGATCTAAACGCGGCTCAGTTGGAGTTTTAAGATGAAACAATGCTTCTAGTGGAAGATTCAGCGTAAATTCAAGGCCAGTTTTTGCTTCATAGCGTCGGTAAGTTTAGATTATCTCTAGAATTGAAAATGTTTATTTACATGCTAAAAATGTAAACTTTACATCGCCGCGCTGCACCGCCGGATACCACTATTTCAGTGTTCATAACAACTACTTTTTGGTATGCGATCTGTAAATAGCGCTGACTCTGCTTAAACAACCAACTTTGAAATGACTTAAATAACGACGATTTTGAATAATTATTTAAATAAAGTAATCAAACAATGGGCAAAATACAGAGAGACGTTTGTATCGTACTAACTAACATTAGTAACAGAGGAAACGCCTTTGTGCAGCCATACCTGCTTCATGGCTGTCTTTGTTGCCTACTCAAGAATTGAAGGCAGTTGGCTGGAGGATAGCAATATAGTCTTCGCACGCTTGTTATACCGATTGGCGCCGCCTCCATGGAAGAGTACGCATCTTCAAATAATTCAGATGAGTAGAGCCTGCGAGTAATATTTGTTTATTTTAGAGCTGTATATACGACTGATTTTGTCAATCAATTTCTTCCTTAATGGAGATGTTGCATTTGTAAGGAATTTGCGATTTGACTGATGATTTTAATGTAAAAGTTCGCGAGAAACACGATGGTGCCACTGGTTTTCTCTGGAATCAACTCCCAAGCTTAAAAAAAGCTCTCAAGTTGAGGCCAAAATGGAGGGATATCCCACGCTATCCTGAGAGTCCACCTCTACATCAAGACGAACTCCCCATGCAAAGATAGAGAGCAAATACATTAGCAGTGATGCCGTGTTTTCATGGAGTCCCCAAATAAAGTGGAAGCCCTGTCAATGTATTTGCTCCCTATCTTTGCATGGAGAGTTTGTCTTGATGTTGAGGGGGACTCTCAAGATAGCGTGGGATTTGCGTGGGATATCCCCTCCATTTTGGCCTCAACTTGAGAGCTTTTTTTGAGTTCGGCAGTTGATTTCAGAGAAAACCAGTAGCACTATCGTGTTTCTCGCGAATTTTCACGCAAGAATCAACAGTCAAATTGCAAATTCCTCACACATGCAACATCTCCATTGACCCATTTAGGTGTTAATTTTAGAAATTTTTCATATGTTCAACGTATTTTGCGCAGAATCTTGATGAAGAAACACGTGTTCTGATGTTTAAATTGTTTCTCTAGACCTGTTTAGTTGGTCCATTGAAACGAAGTTAACAAATACACCATGAATGATCTCTATTTATATCGTTCACATGTGCTCTACCTCGCTAAAGCAAAGCGCTGTAAAAGCAGCCACATTTTTACAACTTTACCCGCAAGAGGTATTCATTTTCGCTAAAAATCATGAAAATTTCTCCTTGAAATTTCCAGTTACATTCAGTATAATTAAAAATTGGAAAGGAAATAATCATAGCATTTCTTTGTTTTTTTTTATAAAAATTGTTGTTTATAAAGAGAATTTTGACAATGAAGTAAATTTATCTGCGATACAACTCTCTGTTATGAAAAGTACTTGGCTTAAAAAAACTAAACATGGTTATAATTTAATCATGATTCGCTATCGTAAAATGCATAAAATCACATCAAGTCAATCTAACAAGTCTGTGTCAGCGTGTAAAACATACCATTCTTTTGTAACTATACAATGCTCTGGAATCGTTACGTGACAGATTTGCGAAATAAAAACTTACGAGGAAGAACACGAAGCGAATCGAATATATTCTGCTCCAAACATGAAAGAACCGATTGGCATATAAAGAACAATATGTTCGACCGGTAATATTATGCGCATTATTATGGCACGTCACTTCGACAAATACGAGAGTACAGTAATGTATTCAGCTGGAGATAAAGCAACTAGTATTTTGAATGAGATGGGAGGATAGCATGACCTTAACATTGCTAACTCTGCATGTCAGAAATGGAGCGCGATCAATTCTCAAAAGAACTGAGATTGAGATGCACGTAAAGCTGTGTGTCCGAACAATTGTGCATGAATCTGACAAAATATGAATGAAAGTATCGAGAAAGCTATCCGGATGTATTATGCATGTTTGGCGATTTCTTTGCTGCATTTTTTGGATCAACCTAATATCCCGCACCGCGATCCACTTCATTGGAGGATGTATCTTACAATCGTTTCTTTTACCTTGATGGAACGATGTTGAATTGTTGACTTCATGGAATAGCTACCCCGGTTCCCGACTTCGCTAGGATTTGTTCTTCATTTCACGCAGCCTGAAGACCGTTTGTGATACAACTATTTTAACTTCCAAGTAGCTTAAATTGCATATTTACAGAAATGAAGGGGCACATGGATTCTCATTTCTCGTCGTCGAGCTTAAATGAATAGTTTCAAAGTCGTGCACTTTTTATCATTTTTCCTATTCTATTTCTTTTTCTCCTTATTCGTCCTCTTCTTTTCAACATTATTCTTTCACTTCATCTCCTGTCTCCTAATCTTCTTCTTTTTTATACTTCTCAATGTTTTCTCCTTCCTTTTCTCCATAATTGTGTTCATCTATTCTGTCTCCTATCTCTATTGCTTCTTTTTTTATTTAATCACCTAAAATAAAATGGATTTATTAAAGCATGAAAAATCATTCTGCTTGCATTGCAAAGTGTACAATTTTAATTTGTAAAATATTTTGTAACTTTTTTTAAACCTTAAATAATAGTCTCAAAATTACTAAGGGGGTGGTTTACCTTGCGATAAAAAATTGAAAATAACATAAAATACCTATGCAACTGCTTATACACCACTGACTCAATTGAATCAGTGAGCACGAAAACACACCAACTCGGTAACTGAAAAATGCTCAACTTCCATTAAAGACAGTTGATTTACATACAGGTCGTTGAAGTTAGCTCATCTGTTCCAACTTGAACCTTTAAAGTGTCTATAAGTACTTGTCTTTCGGCAGCAAAATCTTTTTCTTAAAGTAACTTCTTCACCTCCTGTGCAATTTTGTGAGTGTCTTGATTATTTTCATTTTTCCGAGTTGGTGTATTTTCGTTTTCACTGATTCAATTAGGAACTATTTAATACTTTTGAAAAAAAAAATGTAACACTCATGAGTTTCTTGTTTTATCTATCAATCGAAAATGGACTTTTTTTCAGATAATAATTTTTGCTGTAGTACTTGAGATTTCACTCGACTATGAAGCAACTGCGGGCTATTAACACGAGACATCAGAGACCTCTCTCTCTATTACTAATTTAAAAATAAATATTCAGCATGGACAGGAGGAGTATTTAGTGAATAATTATCGATAAAAAAAACATTTCACACTAATCCCGATAGAATTATCCATTAATAACAATTTTCATGAAGACTTGAAACTGATCGTGAATAATAGGTGACCTAGCTAGGATTAAACTGCCTGTCAAAGCGCTAAAATTAAAACATAGGTACGGGAATGAGGAAAACTATTCCATTGAGGGATAACTGCTGATATACAGTGAACTTGGCATGTGTATCGATGGACTTGAAGAAAAAATTACATTTTCCTAATAGCTAATTTTAAAAACACGCAAAACACTTGCTGCGTTTTAAACCTCCAGCCATCCATTGTTTTAAAATATAAATATAAATTTTCTATGATTTGAGTTTTTGTTTACTCAGTCGGGTGTGTCTCTTACATACAATTGACCCATTGTGTTTGATCATTTTTACTATAATACACAACAATGTTGATCATTTTATTTTGTATAGTCAGCTTAAACAACTCGAGCAAGTCCAAAAGTGAACAACAATTATTCAAAAAATGTTGTAATCCTAAAAACAGACTGATACTGGTTTAAATTACCGGTAGTTGTTGTTAAGTCACATACATCTGACAAATCATGTTCAGTTGTAAAATTGGTTTGATAATAAAGAACTTATATAATATTTTAGTTTTGCTTTGCTGATTTTAAGCAGCAGTGCCTCCAAGATGCTACATTCACTCGTAAAACTTCCCCTCTCACACTCCCCTCTCAAGCAGTAGATGCAATCTCGATGAAAACACTCACCGATGAATTTTCTAGATGAAAACAAGAGCTGAGCTAGTGCAATCCACTAATTCAATCATTCTTCCTCATACATATCGTGATCCCTTTTTACAGCTGGCTTAGCGTCCATAAACCTACACATTCTCACCATTGTACGGTTATTTTTCCGCCCGCAGCTTTGGCATACCAAGGAATAAACACCTATAAACATTCGGACGTTGAAAATTTCTCACGAGAGAACATGTATTTTATGGACCAATTTTGATCGATTTTCTTTTAAAATATTCTGGTTCTTTAGATAAATTTGCAAATAAAATCTCTAAATAAATTGGAAGAAAAATACGCAAGATTTTTCTGGAAATTTCATTTTTCATCTTAAAAATTTGGCAGCGTTTGAAGCCTCATACCACGTTTTCCTCGCAAAGTTGAAATTCGAAGTTGCCTGCGAACTTCTCTCGAGTTCGCAACCAGAGCGCTCGTTTTCAAAACGGCTTAAGCGTCACAAACTCACAAGCGCACGAAGTCTTGACACATGAAGGAGACCGAAGTTCAAGAACTGTCGGCGCTTGATCCCTTTCAAAAATGAAGGGTTCTCTTAATTACTGGATTAGGGAGCTGTAGAAATCTCTTGAAACTCAACGGGTAAGATAAAAGAGCCGGATAAGATGTAAGTTCGCTCGTTGTTGAGGGCGTATGCCTATGCGGTCAGTTCGTTTAACGACGACACCTTTGAAGGAGTCGAAGCTTTTGAGGTGGCGAAGATTTTCAGGTGACTTGGCAGGATGTTCAAATCCTCGTGGTTGCAGCAGAATGAGGGATACGCCCGCCAGCTTCTCGTCTGTTGCTCAGGTAGGAGTCGGTTTCAGTAGTAGTAGAACCCAACTATCTTAGTCAAATAAATATACATAATATCCAGTGGTAGAATCTTTGCACAGTCTCAGGTGCAGTGAAAGTTTGAATGATGCGACGGTCTCTGCACGCTCCGGGCTTCTGCCGATGTGGTGAATTTTGAAATTCTTTTTATCAGGTGATTTAAAAGTGTCTGGGATTAACCGCCGTGATAGTGAAGAGAGCAGTAAGTGCATTTCTGCATGAACCATGATTAGCACGTGCTTTGATGTGTCTCAAGGTTCATCCCAGGATGCACTTACTGGTCTCTTCGCTATCACGACAGTTAAGTTTCGAGTGTCTTAACTTAAAATATCTTTTTATCTTTGCTTTATCGCCTACTTTCTCCGTGCTATTTCAGTCGTGTGCGACAAACGGTGCAGCGACATTTGGAATATCTTGCACCATCAATTGTTCAAATTATTCAAATTCAATCGCGCATTAGAGTTAGACTGGCATCAGAATGATAATGGCTTACGCCTAAATGACTCATGTCAACGTTAGAATCAGTTTTTTCGTTAAAAATTTGGAGAAATCCGACAGTTAGGAGAGTCAGTCCAACCGATTTTGACCAGAGTTTGCATCTCCTCGAATGAATTACATTTTCATGAACACCTCGTATTCTTATAAATCGTTGTTTCCCTGAAAAAGGAACTTCGTCAGTCTCACACAAGAGTCAAGAGAGGACTCACACAATCCGACTTTCAAGAATCCAATAATGTACCTGTGCAATTTTTGTTCAAAATTCTTCTGATTTTTACGTGAGATCGGATGAAAAATCATTTAAATTTTCAGTGAGAAGTGCCCAAGATTCTCCTGATGAAAATGCAATTTGTGAGGGGACATTTGATAACATTGAAATATAGTTACGTTCTTTTCGTGAGTGGAACAAAGAAATGCTTTGAATTCCCTGGTAAAATTGGCGATAGGAGCTGCGTTTTAAAATACCATAGGAGTTCTTATAGCCAACTGCATAGAGAAGGCGGTAGAAAATCATATAGCTGGCTGTAGAAAGTGGAAAAAATCATACGGCTGGGCTACACGAAGCGATCAAAAATTATACAGCCGGGCTATAGTTCCTATCGCCGGGCTTTACACTTTATCGCCTGGCTGTTGCTTTTTCGCCAACGGCTATAAAAGGCTATCAGAAATTGTGCAGAAATGTGCTTTGTAAATCCTTGAGTTTGTACGGAATCACTTTAATATTTACAAAACGCACATTATATTTTCCTTTAATACATATTTTTTTTCATCAATTAAAACGAGAATAATCCATACAGAGTGTGCAAACATTTCAAAAGTCATGAGTTGAAAAACGCTGACTCCACGTGATTCAATATTTGAGCCTAACACAAAGCGGAGCGGCGGCGCACTGGCGCCTACAAACCTAACAGGGATACTTCACGCATTGCGCAATGCGTGAAGTATCCCTGTTAGGTTTGTAGGCGCCAATGCGCGTCTCGCGCTGGCTGCCCGCCCGCCGCGCCGCGCTGCAGCGTACCACGGCGCTTGAAGCAACTATTTCACACCAGAGGTATTGCACAGTTTCATACCAAATTGAAGGCGCTCCAACATACTGGGAATGGCAGGCATCCTTCAAAAGTACGGAGCTTTCCTTGCAAAATAAATCAAGATACTACGGCCCAAAAAGAGAGCGGTAGTCCAAAAACTCACTAAGTCCTAGCATCCGTAATTAGTAACGTTTGGCATACACTTTATCGCCAGACTGTTGCTTAATCGCCATCAGCTATAAAAGGCTATAAGAAATTGTGTAGCCGGCTAAAACAGATATTGGAAATCTTACAGCCGGCTGTAGGTCTATGGTATTTTGGAACACAGATTCTGCTGTCAATTTTTACCAGGGTTTTCTTGACAGGCATTGCATTTCCATGATATAAATAAATGCCCTGTATTTCCGTGCAATCAATGCATCTCCGTGCATACGCTGCATTACCATACATACAGCATACACCCTGTTATCGTACCGTCTACATTTCCTTGATCACCATGCATTACTGTAAATGCGATTCGCATTACCGTAAATGCGGCAAATTACTGTAAATGCCATTCATTACCGTACATTCCGCCCATTACTGTAAATGCCACCCATTACCGTACATACCGCCCATTACTGTAAATGTCACCCATTACCGTACATGCCGCCCATTGACGCACATGCCGCCCATTAGCGCACATGCCACCAATTACATTAAATGCCGCCAATTACCGTTAATGCCGCCCATTACTGTAAATGCCACCCATTACCGTAAATACCGCCCATTACTGTAAATTCCATCCATTACCGTACATGCTGCACATTACCGTAAATGCACCGCATTACATTTTTTTTTTTTTTTTTTTTTTTTTTTTTTTTTCCCGATGGGGGCTTCTATTCTTTCTGACGTATCTTTTTTTCACAAAGGCGTCGCATTTCCACAAATGCATGACCACGAAATGCATTTGCATGATCTGAATCCACGTTGACTAGTCTGGAAAACGATGTATTTGGGTATGCTCGTGTTGCAGTGAGCATCCTGCCGTTCGTCTACGGGCTGCTGGAGATGTGGCCGTCGCTCTCGATCGAGCGGGTGCTGGACGGGGCGGCCGGGTTCCCGGTGAGCGAGGCCGAGATCTCGGTCATCGTCACGATGCCCACCCTCGCCGAGGCCATCACCCCTCTGGCCCTCGGCTTCGTCCTCGTCAACGTCGGCCGCAAGACCAACCTCCTCCTCAACGCCATCGTCTACATTCTCGCCTGGGTCCTCATCACCTTCGCCGAGTGCCCCCTCTACCTCGTCGTCGCCCACTTCATCGCCGGCTTCGGCTCCGCCATCGTCCTCATCATCGGACCCATCTTCCTCTCGGAGATCGCCGACAAGAGCAACCGAGGTAAGCTCCCTAGAGTACTTTCATGGACAGAGGAAGGACAGAGACATGTTTTCATCGAGTCCTTCGTGTCCGGGGACAGGGGCTATGCGGACTGATTGTTGACATTGATAGACAAAACTATAGACAAAGAAGACAAGAGATATATGGAGGGATCCTATTGATGCACGAAGAAAAAAACTTCGTGCGTTGGACCCGAACTTAAGCATATGGATCTCTGAAGTTTTCTGATTGAGCATCTGAACACTTAAGGTCCAGCTGCCGAAGTTCAGGTCAGACATCTGAAACTTGAGTTCTTACATCTGAAGTACTTTAGATGTGAGAACCGAAGTTTTCCGGATGTGAAAACCGAAGTACTTCAGATGTGAGAACTGAAGTTTCAGATGTGTGATCCGAACCTCGACAGCTAGCCCTTGAGTGTTCAGATGCTCAATCTGAAAACTTCAGAGATCCATATGACCTAAACTTCGGGTCCCAAGCACGAGGTTTTTTTTCTCTGTGTGGAAGCGGGTGGTTGCAATGGACAAACGAGGTAGATAATTGACTAACTATAACAGCGACGAGAGACCTGGTAGTTCTCCCTTCATCATTTTCTCCCTTAATCTATAAGAATCACCCATTTCAACCAATAGGATCGCTCTATACTCTTTATGTCTTCTTTGTCTATCGCTTTGTCTATTAATTTCAATAATCTGTCGACTGGGTGGGACACTTCATAGCCGGCATCGACATCGTCCTCGTTATTAGATCCATCTTCCTCTCAGACCAGAGTGCCTATATATCGTCACTTTCCGGCCAAAGCATCACAAGCGCCATGCGACGATTAAAAATTACTGTCGCCATTTTATTTTTTTACAGATGCATTTATCGGAGATCGGAGGTTTACGATTTGTAAAGAAATGACTAAAGTTTGATTTCCGCAGAATAACCGCTAAACTGCGAATTCTTATACACAATGCATGCGCTGTTTTTCAAAATGCAGTCGCTTCGAAGCGAATGCACTTTTTTCCCCCCAACAAACTCCGGTTCTTTTTTGCGTAGAGTCAACCAGTTACGATCAATCTTGTTGTGTTAATAACGGGTAAATTATTATTTTTTTTTTTTTCGTGTGTATTTTGGCAGGAGCTTTGGTGAGCATTTACATAACAGCAGTTTCTGTGGGACAGATCTTCTTCACAGGGATCGGCATCTACATTTCTTACTACGTTTTGAACTGGATTGCGCTTGTATTAGCAGTGCTAGCACTCTTGTGTCTGGTCGCTTTCGTCACCGAGTCTCCGTACTGGTTTATGATCAGAAGGAATGATAAAAAAGCTGAAGAGAGTTTCAGATACTACAGGAACCCAACCGCAGGCGAGGGCGAAGAACAGGTATGTTGAACCTTGTTTTTCAAACTTCGACAAAAAGTACTTTTAGGTGTTTTGCTGTGAGTAAGCGCTTTTCGCCTTCAACACGCTACCTGGTAGAACCTGGAGCAGCAGCAAAGACATATGGCTGTCCAGCTCAACAATAAGAGAATGCAGAGACGAGAATGCACATAGATACATCCCTTACATCTGATTCTGTATGCAATACGCATGTCGTCTGACCACGAATATTTGCATCCAGGCGTTGCCATCACCAGTTACGCTTGCTAAAGAATTACGTATTAATATTTAAAAAGTAAACACAGCAGTTTGTTGAAAATCAATTTGCAAGTACTGCTGATGGTTTGAGTGTGATCTACCGCTCGTTTTCCAAGGGTTCTTGATGTTTTGCGAATCAATGCTGAGGTGCGTGGTAATAAAATTACATTTTTGTGTAACTTCTCGATTTTCCGTGTAAAATATTTTGATGATGGACATTAGACAACTCCTACAGCTCATAGATGCACCTAACACGAAACCGCCAGAAATAGAGATACGGTTATCGAGATACCTTCTTCATCAAACCTAACCCAACCTAATCAAAGGTAATAGAATTTTGGATCTAGCCAAGGTGTTGGATTTGGATCATTAATAAGGTCCTCCTTATTAGCACATAAACGTGTTTACTCTATTTACCTCAGCCTGAAGTATGAGCCTCAGCCTCAATCC